CGGAACTCAGGAGTACCTCACACCTTCTCTCAGGTTAACAAAATTCCTTACCTTGGTTGTCTGTGTTCGCAAACCACAGATAGAGTCAAATTTACTCGATTTGGGATTTTAAAAATAAATCGGTGACTTGGGACACCATAATAATTATCCCAAGTGACGACTCTGATTAATAAATAATCTCATTTCAAATAATTTCACTTTAATTGGAAAAACTCCCTATCCCCGAGGAAAAAAGGAGGTGTGACACATATTACTTTAACAAAATTCTTACTACCACTTTATGTTTTACCTCAAAAGGCAAAATACATAAGTTACCACCTGAACTATAAACCAAATCTCTGTTACACACTTTCTGACGGCGAAAATTAACTTACACACTCAACCTTTCAAAAGTGTCTATAACACACCACTTTGCTTAGCTGGCACTCACGTATTATACACAAAAAAAGGGCGAGTGAACTCCAAAAATTTTTTTAAAAAAAAAAATTAAAACTTTAACTCGGTTTTGAAGTCATAAGAACTCAACCATGGAAGTTCAGAATTCCTCGTGAAATCACTTCGTTCAAATGGTTTTAAGCTCAAGGATTAGTTTTTAATCAATTCCAAACATCAAACAATCCACATAATTTTTAGATCTCAAATTAGCATCAACCTAGAACTCAGTAACTATTTTTGCATTCTGCTCGCCATTGAAGTCTTTTGAAATCAGCAGTTGCTTTCAAATTTCAACCCACACAATTATTATCCATTGATGCCAACTATAAATTCGAGTTCAAAATTGAATTTTATCTTTGACTCGAACAATGGAACTCACATCAAATCTATTACAATAAAATTAATAATTTTAAATCAACAATTTATTTTTAAAAATAGTGGTGTTCTAAGATCGAAAATTGAATTGTAATCACTATTTGGGATGAGATTTGGGTGGAGTAATATTCAAATCACCATTGCCGGCAAAGCTTCGAAGGTTGAAGTCGGAATAAAATTTGGATATGAAATTTCATGTTCAAATTCAAGTGGGTAATCAAGGTCCTTGATGAAAACACTTGCACAAAGCTAAATCTTATTTTTGGAATGAATTGAAATTGATTAGGGTGGCTTTGAAAGAAAAAAAAAACAACTAAAAGAGAACTTTAATCCGGAAAAAAGAGTCCAGAAATCTAAGAGGGAAGGAGATGAGGGTATATTTGTAAATCTAAGTATTTTTTGCGTTAAGGACACGTATCGAAACCTCATTGGTGCGTGACATAGACATGTTTTGTGAAACTGGTCAACTATAAAAGTGGTGTGTCATGGACACACTTTGAAAGGTTGAGCGTATAAAATAATTTTCACTGTCAGAAAGTGTGTAAGGGGGATTTGGTCCATAGTTTAGGTAGCAATCTATGTATTTTGCCTACCTCAGAATCGAATAAGTCTTGTCCTTCCACATTTTTACCAAAAAAGAAAAATCTTTATTTAATCTTTGCTTATAGTTGTTGCACTATTTATTACTTAATATTGTTATATTTTCATGTGATCTTTTATTAGCTTACCAATTTGACTTAGTAACTAGCTTATTACCCTTTTGATAGTCATATATAAATATAAATTTTTTATTCCTAAAATTAATGTATTTATATACTTTTATCCTCTTACTTAGAGCTCTTTTGTCATTTAAATCCATCAATAATATTTTTAGTGTCATTTAATTATTTAATATACTTATCTTCATATTAATTCAAAGTATAAATATTTTTACACTATCTTTATTTTCATCTTTATATATTCTTACCCCTATTATGAAATTTTAATTAGTTTTGTATATTAATATTTTATAAATAATCAAAATATGTAGTATCACATTTTATTTTAAGTTATAACTTTGAATTAGTCTAAAATATTAATATATAAGTTTTTTTAATTATTATATTATAAATTTATTGTATTTTCTTATAATTATTTTTATATCGCATGCAATTAAATTTTCTTTCTTTTAGTTTCAGGATACAAATTTAACTTTTTTTTTTTTACTAAATTACCTACATAAGACATTTATTTTGTATTCTTAAAATTTTGATATTATCTAATTATTAATTTTCTTTATCCAGTAAAACTTTAATTTTGTGGTCCTATCCATAGTTTGAGCAATTTTAAATTAATCTCAAATTCAAATCATCTTTTCCTTCTATTTCTAATATTAAATATTTTTAAATTTTTAATTATTGCTATTACGTTACCTAAATATACAGTATTTCATGTGGCCTTCACTAACTTTCCTCTCTATTTAATATCATTATCCATTTTGACCAAAAAACAATATCATTATTCATTTATATCCTTTAATATAGTACAGATCAATGTGTGATTTTATAATCTTTCTATGAATATTTATATTATTTAAATTAATACTCGATATTATTAAATTATTTAAATTTATTAATAATATTTTTAAGCATTATATATTAAAATTTCTAGTTTTGGTTATGCCATATGGCAGAATTAGTTATTAGTTAATTGTAGTTAATTAGTTAATATATTATATGTGGCTAATTTTAAGGTTGCCACTTGGCTTAAGGAGAGGGCTTTTCCTCTTTTTTTTTTTGGTAATTTAAAATTTTATTACCTAGGAAAAATGAATACATTTGCAGAACAAAAAACCCATATCCACCTTATAGTTGGACATATAGCCCCAACTATAAGCACTACATCAGCTAATCAGTATCAACATAGCAATCTAAGGATAAAAATTTAAGGACTTTAGCTTTTCCTCTAAACTAGTTCTCATACTACCCCGACAATGAATGTCTTGGATTATCAATCTAGTCAAATCCTCAGCTCTCTTTTTATGCTTTCGAAAGATCCTCCAGTTCCTCTCTTGCCATATGTAATACATAGTGCCTGCAAGCATCAGTCTATATGGAGCTGCCGATGTTCTTCTTCATGTTGCAAACTTAATGGCCCAGCTTATTTCTTCATTCCATTTCCTGGCAGCTTGTCCTACTCCAGCCCATTTCAGTAACCTCTCCCATATTGTTGCTGAAAACTTGCATTTAAAAAACAAATGCTCATGATCTTCATCATTTTCCTCGCACAAGACACATTCTGCACTTGTTATGCTCCCCCATTTCATAAGCCTGTCTTTAGTGTATAATCTGCTTTGTATGGCTATATAAACAATGAATAGCCATTTGGGACAGCTATCATTGTTACGTAGCACTCTTCTCCATGGGACCTTTGTGAACTCACCCCTTAGCTTATTATAGACATCTCGAATGGAGTAATTATTCCCATTCATCACCTCTGCCACATTGATATTAGCTTCTGTCAAGTATTTTCTAGCTCCTAGAATCTTTTGAGTCAGCCATGCTACTTGTTTAGCTTTAACATTCCATACTATATCTTGCTTTATGTAATATGTGTGCATCCATTGAATCCACAATCGATCCTTCTTTTTGCATAAGTTCCAAAGGTGCTTCAGAATTGTTGCTTTGTTCCAAATGATTATATCTGTTATATTCAGTCCTCCTGCAGTCTTTGGCCAGCATAATTGTTTCCAAGCAACCAAAGCCTTCTTGCTCCCATCTGTCTCCCCTGTCCACATAAATCTTTTGCATATACTTTCAATCTTTATCAGGATCTTTTTTGGCAAAGGAAAGATTTGTGACAAGAAAGATTGAATAGCTATCATCACACTCTTTATCAATTGCAAACGACCTGCATATGACAAGCAACAACAACAACAACAACGGCCCAGTATAATCCCACAAGTGGGGTCTGGGGAGGGTAATATGTACGCAGACCTTTCCCCTACCCCGAAGGGTAGAGAGGCTGTTTCCAGGAGACCCTCGGCTCATAAAAGCAACAAGAGCCGATATATTAGTACCATAAAATGCATAATAAAATAACAGCAATATAAGAGATATGAAATACATTATACGAAATACGAAATAGATGGCTAATATAGTAAAACTAGCAGTTAAAGCCCTGCATCAATAGACGACCAATGACATTCTTAGTCTAACTCCTAACCGGCTAGTCTCACTCTAGTGTGTTGTAGAAATATTCACAAGTTTCCCCTAACCTACAACCGTAATGCTCGACCTCCATAATTCCCCGTCAAGGGCCATGTCCTCAGTAATCCTAAGTCGCGCCATGTCCTGTCTGAT